ATGATCTAAATAAACAGAGATATCATGACTAGGAAGACCTAACACTGGCATGATGGCAGTACTCCCCAAATTGATTTATAGATTTTATGCAATGCCCAAATCCCAGAATTTCTGATATGCTGACTTCAAAATGTACAAGAAGATACAAAGAATAGAGAAAAAGTTGTAGTGCAGTCCTAAACCCCACACAGCAGTGAAAGTAATGTAACCACCACACCTCACATCAACATGGACGAATCCTTAAAATATATTCGAAATATAAAAAGCAAATTACAGGAAGGTATGACCTGAATGAAACCTTTATATATAAATGAAGTTTTAAAACATGTAATTCATACATTTACCCATCATCAGAGTCCCAAAATAGATGAAGTAAACATTGACAGATTTGAAGGGAGAAATACAGATTTATCCTACAGTAGTAAATGGAGACTTCCGTATTAAAATTTCAACAATGGGTAGAACAACCAAATAGAGAATCAAGAAGGAAATAGAGGGCTTGAATAACACCACAAACCAATCAGTCCTAATAAACATATATAAAACACTCTACCCAACAACAGAATACAGTTTTCTCAAGTGCACATGGAACATTCTCTGGACAGACCATATTTTAGGCCACAAAAGAAATTTTAATAAAGAGACTGTAATCATATAAAGTATCTTTTCTGACCAGAATGGAATGCAACTACAAATCTATATCAGAAGGAAAACTGGAAAATTCATAAATAGGTGAAATCTAAAAACACTTAAACAATAAATGTGTCAAAGAAAAAAACACAAGAGAAATAGAATATACCCCAAGATAAATGAAAATGGAAACACAAAATATCAAAACTTACAAGAAGTAGTGAAAGCAATGCTGAAGGAAATTTTTAGTTGCAAATGCAAACATTAAAAAAGAACAATCTCAAAAATAACCTAGGCTTACATCTTAAGGAACTAGAAAAAGAGTGAACTAAACCCAAAACTAACAGAGGGAAGGAAATGAAGATCAAAGATGAACAGAACAATAGAGAAAATGAAGCCATAAGTTGATTGTTCAAAAAAAAAATTTGACAAACCTTTAGGTATATTAGCTTAAAAAAGAGAAGACTCAAATTAGTAAAATCAAAAGTGAAAGTGGAGACATCACTACTGATTTTACAGAAATAAAAAAGGATTATAAATACTTTCAATTAAAAGGATTATAAGAAAGTACTATGAATATTTGTATACCATAAATTGGATAGCCTAGATGAAATAGACAAATTCCTAAAACTACACCATTTACCAAAACTGAATGATGAAGAAATAGAAAATACAAATAAACCTATGACTAGTAGGGAGACAGAATTAGTCATTTAAAACTTCACAACAAAAAAATCCCTGGACAAGATGGCTTCACTCATGAATTCTACCAAACATTTAAAGAAGAATTAAAATCAATAATGCTCAAATTCTTCCAAAAAATTAAAGAAGGAAAATGTGCTAACTCATCGCATGAGGCCAACATTACTCAATAACAAAGCCAGACAAAGATACTAACAAGAAAACTATAGACTAATATCTCTTATGAATATTGATACAAAAATTCCCAAAATACAAGCAAATTGAATTCTTCAGCATATTAAAAAGGATTATATCCATGGCAAGTGAGATTTATCCCAGGAATGTAAGGATGGCTCAATATATAAAATATCACTATAATACACATTAATAGAATGAAGGAATAAAAAACAATCATCTCCATTGATGTAAAAAAAGCATTTGATAAAATTCAGCACCTTTTCATGATTAAAACACACAGCAAACTAGGAATTAAAAGAAATGTCCTCAATACAATAAAAGTCATTTATAGAAAGCCCTGAGCCAACCTCATACTCAATGGTGAAAGACTCAAATTTCTCCCCAAGGATCAAGAACAAGAGAAAGATACCCACTTTTCCATTTCTATTCAAAACAGTATTGAAAGCTCAAGCCAGAGTAATTAGGCAAGAAAAGGAAATAAAAGGCCTAAAAATTTTACAGAAGGAAGTTAAACTGAGGTCAGAAAAAGATGACAGCATGAGAACTGAGGCAGAAACCTCCTCCCAAAACCACATAAAACATAAAAATACTACAAATACAACGAATCCTGAAAAAGTGCCCCAAAGACTGCAGAACAGATCCCCTATATCTGGGAAAAAAGAGAAAACCTCACAGAAAAGGGGTAAAGTAGCAAAGCCACAATCCAGTAGGATTCAAGCCGAGCCCACAGGAGGGAGGAAGAGAAACAGGACTGCTGAACACCCAGCCCTGGAAATCTGCTCTGGGAGCACAAAACCCACATTGTGTGGTGTTCTGGAGATTAGGGGGACTGGAAAGCAGAAACAGAACACTGGGAGAGACTGAGATCCCAGCCACTTGTGGAGAGCAGGTATGCACAACTGGGCCCCCTGGGACAAAAGAAAAGTGGGCAGTTTGAAAGACTTCCCAGCAGCGAGAGGGGCACTAAAGGGGAAAAGATCACATACAGCTCGCTGATCAGAAGAAAGGACAGGTGGACAAAATCATCCCAGCACACTCAGCCCACAGGCTGGGAAAACTCAGGAGCTTCAGATGCTCTATCCCCTTGGCTGGCAACACAACCCTGAGACACCGCCCGCACTGTGGTACACAGTCAGCCATTCCTTCTTCCCAACAGACACCAGTCCCACACCCCTACTGCCCCCGCTGTCACTCCATGGGAGCTTGAAGGTGGCACCACCTACAGCAGTCACAGGGGCCTAGCACAAAGGCTCCTCCCTGCGTGCTCAGCCCATTGGACCTGGCAGTGGAGGCAGGCACTCCAGCTGGGAAGACAGGAAAGAGCTCTTTCCTCCCGGCAGGCACGGGTTCCGCTCGCCTGTGATGCCCACCATTGCTGCATGTGCTCAGCAGAGAGTAGAGCTGCTGGGCACTAGAGGGCACCACCTACATGAAGTTAATACTCCACAGGAAATGAAAAAAATGAAACAGCAAAAGAATTTGGTCCAAACAAAAATGCAGGGAAAAAATGCAAGAAAGAGAGCTAAGTGAAACTGAAATCACCAATCTTCCTGATAAAGATTTAAAAATAAAAATCATAAACATGCTCATGGAGCTACAGAAAAACATTCAAGATCTCAGGGAAGACTTCAAGAAAGAGAAACTGAAAAATACAGTACCTGAAATGAAACATACAATGGATGATTTAAAACTAGATTAGATGAGGTGGAGGAGATGGTCAGGAAAACAGAGCTGAGGCACAGGGAGAAAAAAGGATCTCTAGGAATGTAATAATAATAAGAGAACAATGTGTGAGCAATCCAAATGGAACAATATTCGCATTATAGGGGGACCTGAAGAAGAGTGAGACAAAGGGATAAAAAGTCTCTTTGAGGAAATAATGGCTGAAAATTTCACCAGTCTGAGGCAGGAAATACTCTCAGGTCATGGGAGTACAGAGATCTCCCAACACACGGGACCCTAGGAATACAACACCAAGATATATAATAATTAAAATGGCAAAGATAAAGGACAAGGAGAGAGTATTGAAAGCAGATAGAGAGAGAAGGTCACTTACAAAGGAAAGCCCATCAGGCTATCAGCAGACTCCTCAGCAGAAACCTTACAGGCAAGGAGGGAGTGGCATGATGCGTTTAATGTAATGCAACAGAAGGCCCTCCAACCAAGACTCTGCCCAGCAAGATTATCATTTAAATTTGAAGCAGGGATTAAATAATTTCCAGATAAACAAAAGTAGAGAGAATTCACCACTACTAAACCAGCCCTACAGGATATGTTAAAGGGACTGCTCTAGATGGAAATGCTTCTAAGGCTACATAGCTGCCTCCAGAGAAAAGAAACCCACCATAATGGTAGCAGACCAATTAATCACCAAGCAAACAAGAAATTAAATCAACTACTCACAAAGTTAGTTAAGGGATGCACAAAGAGTACAAAAATATGACACCTCATATATAAAGTGGATGATGGAGGAAGAAGAAGGGGAGGAAAAAAAAGTACCTTTAGATTGTGTTTGAAATAGATTAGTCACCTATTTAAGATAGACTGTTAGTTAGTAAGGAAGCTATCCTTGAACCTTAGGTAACCACAAATCTGAACCTTACAATAAGTACTCAATAATCACCTTAAATGTAAATGGACTGAATGCACCACTTAAAACACAGAGTTACAGAATGGATACAAAAAGAAGGCCCGTCTACATGCTGCCTTCACGAGACTCATTTCAGACCCAAAGATCTACACAGACTAAAAGTGAAGGGATGGAAAAAGATATTCCATGCAAATAACTGGGGGGAAAAAGGCAGGAGTAGCAGTACTTATACCAGACAAAATAGATTTCAAAACAAAGAAAGTAACAAGAGACAAGGAAGGACATTCCATAATGATAAAGGCGTCAGTCCAACAAGAGGATACAACCACTATAAATATCTATGCTCCCAATATAGGAGCACCTAAAAATGTAAAACAAATACTAACAGAATTAAAGGGGGAAATAGACTGCAACACATTCATTTTAGGGGACTTCAACACACCACTCACACCAATACACAGGTCAACCAGACAGAAAATAAGTAAGGGAACAAAGGCACTGAACAATACATTAAAACAGATGGACCTAACAGACAGCTATAGAACACTCCACCCAAAAGCAGCAGGACACACGTTCTTCTCAAGTGTACATGGAAGGTTTCCCAGAGTAGGTCCCATCATAGGCCATAAAAAGAACCTCAATAAATTAAAAAAGATTGAAACTGTATCATGCACCTTATCAGACCATAATGGTATGAAACTAGAAATAAATTACACACACACACACAAAAAAAAAAAAGCCTGCAGACACATGGAGGCTTAACAACATGCTCCTAAATAATCAATGGATCAATGACCCAATTAAAGCAGAGATCAAACAATATATGGAGACAAATGAAAACAACTCAACAGCCTAAAACTTGTGGGATGCAGCAAAGGCAGTTCTAAGAGAAAAGTACGCCATGCTGATGCTGGGACACAGTCAGAACCGAGCTGTCACCAAAGGGGACAGCACAGTAAAGCACGGGCCCTCCACATACAAGGACCCAGGAGCCCATGTAAGCAGTGACAGCATGGCCCCATCACCACCGACACAGAGCCCAGAGCCCAGCCACTCAGGAGCACCAGGGCCCCGGGGCCCGCCCAAGGCAGGCACCAGCCCAGGGGTGGCATGGTCTTCACACAGGTCTGTGTACCCGAGGCCAGGGCGGCAACGACAATCCCCAGGGAGAACTGCAGCAAGTGTGCTGGGGCCTCAGCCGCACCTGCTGCTGGGGAGGGGGGTCCCTGGGGATCATTCTCAGGCAGGATTTGAGGCAGATCACCTGCCTGTCCATCCCAGCTTTGACCTGCTCTTCCTGCAAGACCTCCAGCCATTCGCAACCCCAGGGGCCAGGCTCTGTGTGGAGACAATGCACAGGGCCTAGAGCCGCCCCTATTGGCCGTGGCACCCCAGCAGCCCAGGAGCAAACAGAGTTGCCGTCACAGAGGCACAGCAGGGACAGCCGCAGTGCGCTGAGCGCCCCACCCAGGTCATCCCACATGTGACACCCCAGGGATGCTGAGCAGGCCAGGCAGTCCCCACCACCGTCCTCACCAACCCCATCAGCCCATGTCACAGGGGAAACAAGCATGAGGTGGGGACCCTGCTGCCCTGGGCCAGAGGCCAGGCCCCACCTCCCCCCAGGGGCCCCATAGTCCCGGTCAGCACATGGCAAGGGTGCCCACCTGCCAGCTGAAGCGGGGTGGCGGGGGGCCAGGGAGGAGGGTCTGGGTCAGGTGAGGCCTGGCTGTGGCAGGGTCCATACAGACTCCAGTGGCTGCCCCATCCGCCCGCAGAAGCCTCCGGGCCCCCTCCCCAGGGTGCTGGGACTCGCTTCCTCGGGGCCCAGGGCCCCTTGTCCAGAGACCCCCTCCCTCCCTCCCACCAGGGCCTGGGCACAGCCCCGCCCCCTTGGGGGTATGTCCCAGCTCCTGGCACACAGGCCACTCCCCACCCCCTCTCAGGCCTCCTCAGCTGCCACCGCCTCTGGGAAGCCTTCCTGGACCATCGGCCACCCACCCCAGGCCCCTACCTCGTACCTCTGACTTCCGCAAACCAACAGTGAGGAGCCATGCAGGCCTGCCCCCGCTGAGGGTCTGCCCCTCACCCCCCTTGCCTGAGGTGGGAGGGATGCATCCGCATGGCCCGCACCCAGGTGGACTGAGGCGTGCACACTGAACTTGGCATCTGCGCCAGGGTGGCCGAGGCGCCCCATGGTAGGGGGGCAACGGGGCACCTCGGTCCGGGTGGCCATGTGGTGTACGTGCACTTCAAAACTCCCCATCAGTACACAGCACTATATGTATATTGTAGCTCAATTTTTTTCTCTTAAAGAAAAGCAGGCATTTTCCTCAAAAGTCAGGTTTCTCACCCTCAGAACCTCACGTCCCACATGTTGGTGCACGACAGACAAACAGGTCAGAAATCCCCCTCGGCCCTTGAAACAGAGAATCATGCAGCGGGCTGCCTGGGCAGGGCCCACTTGCCCTGGGGCCCCTGGGGAGGCCCGGACAGGGCAGAGGCTGGTCAGGGCATGCCCAGGCTACCAAGACAGCCCCAGGGTGGGGGCCCCAGTCTGATGACACACAAGGGCTGGGCCTGGTCCTCAGCTCTGCAAGGACTTGCTGTGTGACCTGGGACTGGGGGTCATAGGGTCCCCCACAGGCCCGGCCCAGTGGGGGCTCAGAGGCTGGCAGAGCCTCGTGGCCGTGAGTCCCCGAGCCCACAGAGCTGTGGCCGTGTCTGTCCGCTCGCAGCCGGCAGCGGAGGGCTCCCGGCCCCACCCGCACAGCAGGCCCTCCGGAAGCACTTGTTCTGTGACGGGCAACAAGATGCTGCTAACTTCACAAGAGGAAGCAGACACGGAACAGGACAGTGGGCAGCGGCTTCCTCACCAGGGGTGGGCCGGCACTGCTCTGTCCACCCGCATCGGTGGACACCCGCCCGGATCGGGCTCCATCATGCCCCCGGGGTCCCCCGAAGGCGTCCCAGTGGCATCCTGCTACCCTGATCTCCCCACACGGGAGCCGGGACTTCAGAGTGATGGGAGCCCGGAACCAGCAGAGGGTCAGCGTGGGCCTCCCCTGAGGACCGTCACACACAGGAGACCATCAGGACAACAAGCAACTCTCCTTCAAGTCCACACAGGGCTCTGAATGGGGAAACACACGCCCACCGGGACCCGGGGGCACCTGGACACTTGGACCAGAACCCACTCACAGCCCGGCCCAACTGAGACACTCGGACCTGAACCTGCTCACACCCCTGCCCCACCAGAACACTCGGAACCAGAACCCATTCACACTTTAAACCGCCCCCACCCAGAGGAAATTCAGAGGTCAGAGGGCCACAGGAAAGGGTGCCCAGGGACCCCATGGGCACAGCCTGGGTTAGGGGAGCACCTTCTATTTCTTCAACAGCAAATTCAAGTGAAAAATCAAGACAGAGAGGGAGGGAAACCTACGGGTCAGAGAGAACCTGCAGGTCTTACTCAGACCCTGTGGATTTGAACACTGGATATTTGAAGATGTGAAGAAATCATTGCTTGTCAGGGGTGACAATGGCCTGGGGTTATGTTGTTTAAAAGACTATTTCAGAAAGACATGCTGAAAAATTGAGAGACAAAAATACAGCATTTGGGGTTGGGTTTAAAACCACCCCAGGGATGGGGGGCTGATGAACAGGACCACCCCCGAGGTGGCAGTGAAGCTGTGTGATGGGAATGTGCGTCCACCGATCTCTTCTGGCTACTTGTGTACAGGTTCAATTTTTCCAGGGTAGAAAGGGTTGCTACCTGCTTCAAATCTCAAATATCTGCAGTAAAGGAGGGAAGGAAATGGGAGCACCTGCTGGGCAGGGAGCCAGGCCTGCACCGAGGGACCTCAGACCATCCACCGAAGTTGCCGGCATTGTGCAAATGCTTGCTACCAGCCTCCCCTTCCCTGCACACTCTCAATCAGTTCTAAATCTCAATTAAAAAGTACCCACCTCTCACGCAGGCGGGACAGGATTCAGGGCAGTCTGCGGCCAGCGCCGGCCCACATGCTGTTCTTGGTCATCTGTGAAAGTTAAGCACAGAATCGAAGGTCAGAGTTCAAAAACTTTCACAACAGTTTGACACAGTGACTTCATGACTGCTGAGTCTCATAATAAGAGAATGGGTTGAACTCTTATTTATCTTCATTTTTACTGTGACGACTTTTATTGCATTTTTTTAAATCAGCCCATGAGAGATTAAAATTAAAAACCAAACAAATGGCTGGTCCTTCACCACAGAGTTTGAGCAGCACTGTCTGGACTGGGCGTGAGTCCCCTGGAGACGCAGACCCATCTGCACAAGTGGCCCGCCAGGGACCCCAGGACAAAGCTGCCCTTCCCACCGTGGGTGGCCCGGCTCCAGCACTTTCTACAGTCACAGCACTGAGTGCAGATTTTTAATCTCCGGTCCCTCCTGCCCTGCCACAGGATCAGAGCACATGCCAGCGAAGGCCAGCAAGGCCCTGGCGGGGCTGAGTACCCACCCTCCCAAGGGACCAGCATCTCACACCCCGGAGAAGCCTGGTAGGTGGCATGCATGATTTATAGTACCAGCAGTGAGATACTAGGGAGCCAGCCTGCACACAGGTGCCCACGACCAGTTCCCTTCCAAACCTCTGGATGGTTTAACTGCATAAGATCCTAAAACTACAAGGTGAGTGGCTTAAAAACACTGCCAGTGCTTCCATATGTCAACTATAAATTACTTTATCATTGAACTAAAGTGCGAATCAATCAGGTATCAGGTGATGTAAGACATCCACCAGCTCCTGTGGCCCCTGGTTTCACAAGTGTCTCATGAAAGATTGCTGCCCTAAGCAAAAAATAATCTCAAATATCAATTTATAAGATAAACTCACACTAATGTGCACCACTGCCTGTATCTGTCTTATATTACTGGAATTCCATGTCTAAGTTTCACTACTTTAAAAAAAAAGGGGGGGGGGGAAGTTGCTGATGATCCAGATCCTTGGGCTGCGGCCCCAACACTGTCCCACTCATGGTTTAGCAACTCTGAGCCTCAGTTTCCTCATCTGTAAGATGGGAACAGAGCCACCCATTTCATAGATTGGTAGGAGGGCAAAAAGAAACAAGAGCCAAACACTCTTCAGAGCATTCAAAGCTCAAAGCTCAAAGCGTGTGACCATTTTATCGAGTTCCCAGCACGGCCTGGTTTCCTTGTGCCCAGCGTGCGTAGAGAGAAACAACAGCGACACCACCAGTACTGCTAACAGGTAAAGTATCAGTGATCATGTATGCCTTTTGGAGCATTTAAGTTTTGAAAAATGAAAATGCATTACCTTTTAGAAAATTAAATTACAATTTTAAAATATTAAACATTCAGGTTATGATAGTTAAGGTTTAAAATATTAAACATTAACCTTATTAGTGAGCAGAGATATAAATTGAACAGTAGGTATCCTTTGTGCCCAGCAGCTAAAAGCCAAGTTGAAGGGATCAGTATGGTCCAGCGCTGGCAAAGACGCAGAGAAAAGGGCATGCTCGCTCACTGCTGGCGGGAGGGCAACCGGCGCCTTTTGGATGGCGATTTGGTCTATCAAAATAAATATTCATGTCCTATAAAAATATCATCTTACTTCTTGATATCTTTCCTATAAAAATATGTGCATGAGTAGATGAAGATATATATATATATATATATATACCTGGATGTTCCCTGCAGCACTGAGTGATGTCAAAAAATGAGAAAACCTAATAGCATCTGTATATAAAAGCATGCCCTGTTTTCTTTTTGAAAAAAAAAAAAAATGACAATAAAACCTAAACACAGGCCATACAGAAAGAAGTATGAGTGACCAAACACAGGTGACCAGCCCTGCTCCGGGTGCCCAACACGGTGCTCCCCACCCCAAGTCCCAGCAATGCGCCCACAGCCCTGAGGGCTGCTTCGCCACCCTGTGGGCACGCACAGGAGCCCCCGAGAAACAGCACTGCCTGCCTTCTGGGGTGCTGGACTCTGAGGCCCTGGTGTGACAACACGCATGGAAATCAGTGCAAACACACACGAGGGGGGGGGTGCCTTCTCGGGGATTCATCCTGGGAACGGGTGGGTAGTGGTCTCAGGGAGCCAGCACCGTCCCCCACCTGTGTGCTTCCCTGGGCCCCATGCCCCCACTGGAGCAAACAGCAGCAGCCCTGCGGCCCTGCTGGGAACAAAGGGTACATGTGTGGCTTCAGGTCCCCAGCACAGGTGGGCATTGCTGTTGACTCTGCAGGGCACCCCCAGCTGGAGCAGAGCCGGGTCCAAGGAGTGGTGGGGGAGAGGTGGGGTGGCGCTGGGGCCCAGGGAGGCAGCCAGAACCGCCTTGCTCTGAACAAGACAGTGAGTCCAGGGCCTTAATATTTGCTCAAGGAACAAAGCAGAAAATTCCACCCACCTTTGTGAGCGGAGGAGGCCTGAGACAAGTCAATACCCTGGACAGCCTTGTCCTCTCAGGGACAGTGAGACGGAGAACAAAGGTCTGATATGCATGATGGAACCTGAGGGTGTCCCTGCACTTGGGTCGCAGAGAATGTCCCTACTCAGGCCACAGAAATGTTGCCTTTTATTGACCTGCCTCCTCGGCCCCCAAATTTACACAACACCTGCAAATCCTTCAGCTTCCTTCCTATCTCCTCAGTTTCCCGGCAGCCCCACCAGGCCAGCAGCATGTTATGGGTGGGGAAACTGAGGCTCCAATATGCTACCGCCTCACCCAAGGCGGCAGCTGGCCGGCGGCTGATGAAGCAGGTGATCTGCAACCCTGGCATCTCAGCCCCAGGGGAGGCACAGAGCCGGGACCTGGGGGCGGGGGCCAAGGGTGCTAGACAGAGCGGCCTTTCAGGCCCTGCACGCCACTGAGGGGAAGAGGAGAAAGCCCAAACCGGCCGTCATGGACGAGGCTTTGGGTACCAGCCTTGGAGGAAGGCGCACTGTGCAGCTGCCCTTTCAGAAACCCAGACAGGGCAGAATTCACGGCTGAGGGAAGGGGCGGAGCATCTCCAAAGTCACCTCACTGAGCCAAAGTCAACTCGCTCCCATCCACCCCATTTTACAGAAAGGACACGGAGGCTCTGAGAAAAGCAGTGAGCGGCCAGAGGCCACAGAGGGGAAGCCAAGGGCCGCTGCCTCCAAGTTTTTAAAGCCACAACAGGGTCCCCTCCAGCAGGCTACCTGGAGGCTGTGGGCTGGAGCAACAAGGGCCTTTCACAGAGGGACACTTTACGGGATGATCTTCGGAGCTGGTGTAGAGCCCCCCCGGGGGGGGGGCAGTGTGCCCACAGAGGACCCCAGCAGAGGCCGCCGAGCCCTCCCACTGCCCCACCACCCCAGCTCCGCTGTCCTGTCTCCAGCACTGGCCCTGGACATCAGCCCCACGCCCAGGAGGGCAGGGGGTTCATCTCTGTGCCCTGAACCCAGGGCAGGGAGGGGGACTCACTCAGGGTCCCATCCTTCCACTCCTGCCCCCCAACCCTGTGCGCTCTGAAGCCTCCACAGCGCCCTCACCTCACCTTTCTCCTCTCTCCTTTGCCGACCAGCCTCTTCCCTGGAGAAAGAACCCAGACTGTCCTTTTCTTAAAACCACCCCACCCCACTCCTCTCTCTAAACCCACTTCCTTCCACGCCTATCTCACCCCCTCTTGCCAAAGCCACCCCAGACGGCGAGGATCCCGCCTCAGGCTAGGCCACCCCTGGCCTGTCTGCCCCACCTCCTGCCACCCCCAACCTCCACCCGGGCTGCTCCCTCACCCCTGGGCATGCCTGGTGCAGCCTCTCCTCCAGAGAGCCCTCCTGCCCCAGGGTCCTATCCTCTCCCTGCTGCCTACCACCCCCTAGGAGGGTCTCACTCACAAATCTTACCTCTGGGCCTGGCCTCTGTGTCCGCATCCCACCCAGTAGTCCCCCAAGTGGGGCCCGCCTGCAGAGCACAGCTGGGACAGCCCACGCAGGACTCAGCCGTCCACGGAGTACACTTTGCTTAGCAGCTGCCTTCCGCTGGCCGGGCCCCCCCTGCCCGGCACAGCCACCCAGGGGTCCTTTCTAACACTTTAGATTGACCCCCACCTAAGCCTCTGCCCTGGTTTCTCAACACAACGGGATAAAACTCACGATCCCCAGCTGGCAGGCGAGGCTGTTAGTGCCTCCCAGGTGGGGCAGGCACGTGTGCCCTTGGACATCGCCGGGCCGCACTCACGCTCAGCCCAAGAGCACCCATGAGCCACAGTCCCCGTGAGGCGGCCACCTCTGCTCCCCAGTTCTGGCGGCCTGCAGGTGTTTACTGAGAAAGCCAACTATGAGCGCCGGAAATGGTCTCAGGTACCAGGGATGACTCAGAGTGGTTGAGCAACGGGGCGGTCCAGCCCAGGCAGGGGGTAGGCAAGAGGCCCACCTGAGTCCCTCCTCTCCCTCAGTGCGCAGACCGGTCCTCTGGAAACGGCACCTGGAACCCCCACGAAGCCGCCGGTGGACCGTGAGGCCGCCGGCCACATGTAGGCCCCAATCTCAACCTAGCAGGTGGTCAGGCCTGGGACCAAGTAGGCCCTCCGCAGAAACAGCTGCGTAAGTCCCCGCCGGGGCTCCAGCCGTGACTGCCTCGGGCCCGGGGCCTCGCTCTGCTCATCCGCAGCATGGCGCTACCTGCCTGCGGGTAGGCGACCTTGAGTTGGTGTCCTTTGCAAACAGGGGGCCTAGGCAGCGCAGCGGTGCTCCGAGCTCTGTGACCCGCAGGCACCCAGCCGATTGTTGTCACCTTTCCCCAAACCGCGGCGTCTCAAGGCCGGTTCCCCGGCGTCAGACTCACACGGGGTCCTGGTCACCCGCAGGTCCCGCGCGGGACGCCCCTGAGGGGCAGCCGCAGCCCCGGGCCCAGGGAAGCCCGAGCTGCGCTCACCCCCGACGGCGCGGCGGGCCTCGCGTCCGCGCTCGGAGCGCCAGTGGACACACACGGTCACCGGGAGCCCGGGCGGAGGCAGCTCTGCTCCTCCGGTGACCAACTTGGTTCTTGCCGCTCGTCCAACCCGCTCCGCGCGAACCGCACTCACCCCGGGAAGCTCGGCCCCGTGCCCGGCGAGCGGCTGCGGCGGCGGCGCTTTACCCCGCGGGGCGGGGCGGGCCTACCGCGCACGGCTCCGCGCACGTGGGCTCGGGGCCGCCCCGGACCCGCCCGCCAGGGGCCGCGCGCCGCTCGCCCCCGCCAATCCCCCGAGTCCCGCGGGCCGGGGCGCTTCTACGTCCCCAGGGAGGGGCGGCGGGGCCCGGGGAACCGGTACTCACCGTGGGCAGCTCGGCCCGGGCGGTGGCCGGGCGGTGTTGCCTTACCCCGCGGGGCGGGGCGGGACTGTCGGGCGTGCGGCCCGGGGGCGGAGCCGCCGCACACCTGGCTCCGCGCACGTGGGCTCGGGGCCGCTCCGGACCCGCCCGCCACGGGCTGCGGCCGCTGCTGCGCCTTCCGTGCCCTGCGGCCCAGGCGCTTCCGTGTCTTCGCAGAGGGCGGAGCGGCGGGGCCCGGGCGGCGGGCGGCGGCCCAGCACCGGGATGGAAGCGCGGCAGAGGCTGGCCGCAGCGCCCCGGAGCCCGTGAACTCCCAACTGCGCGCCTTTCCCACGCTCTTTCCCTGGAGCGGAGGTCCTGGTGTCTGACGGCTTCCGACCCGTCGGAAGCCCGTCTGGAGAGGGCTCGTCTGCATCCTCTGCGGCAGCCCGGCTGGGAGGGCCAGACAGGCCCCGGGCCTCAGGCTGCTTAAGTCAGGGGCGTGGGAATGAGACAGACTGGGGCTCAAATGCACCGTGTGCTACTGAGTCAGTCATTTACGCCAACTGAGCCTCAGTGTCCCAGCCTGTAAAACAAAAGCAATACCCAAACTCACCAGGGTGCAGTGAGGCACAGCGGCAGCACGTAGCACAGGGTGTGGGCCCAATACTGTGTGTACCGGGGGTCTGCCCAAGTTGGCACAGGCCTGCTTCTCCGTTCCCACTGCCCTGTTTGCCGCATTGATTCATAACGTGCCCGCGCCCTCGTGAACTCTTCGACAGTTTTCCATTCTTTCCCCCCGGGGCCTTGAAGGAAAGAGGGAATCCTCTGGGTCACTAAAGAAGAAAAAGCCCATTCCCCAGACAGCATTTTAAGCTCTCCACAGCAGAGAGCATAAAAGCAGGGTGGGCACTTGCTGATGGCTCTGGAAAGACAAACCCCGTTACTGAGCTGCGTTTCTTCAGCTACCATCCCACCTTGGCCTGTTACCCTGGGGGAAGAATCCACACGGCCTTCGCCGTAACTGCCATAAGGTCAACAGCTTGAACTCCGTGAGGTTCAGAGCTGTTGCTTGGCTTCTCCCTAAAACTTCTCACGCGCCCTTTGGCAAGAATCAGCTCCCACTATGACAGTTTGTTTAAAAATGTCTGATGGTATCCCTTGGAGGTCAGCTTTGAAAAGCCAGAGAAAAATGACTGGCCAACCCAGATTACTCAAACCATCAAAATTCTTGCCTTTTGTCTTACACGGTGTTTGGAAAGATTGAGATTGCAGGGACGGGGAGGGCAGGCGGAAGTGGGAGGGACGGTGGATTTAAGTATAGGGTCTTGTCACTGGAACTTCCTGCTGCCTACACGTTAAATATTTTAGGCCCAGTATATTATTCCAAAACCAAAGTACTCATTTTTTTCCTAAAAACACATGAGCAGTTAACGCCAAAAGATTTTAGTACTGGCCTTTCTTGGACACTGATAATACATTTTTTTTTTAAGATAATGTATGAATTTTTTTTAAGGTAACATGATAAAATCATTTGCATTATTATTTTCTAAATGGCACAAGTGAGTCCTTTTGTATTAGAAGAGGATTATTTTAAAGGATGTGGGACGGCGCCATGGGCTGCATTCATACGTTTTTCTCGTCAGTTTCTTAGCACAAACAGGTCTTCTCCTGGGGAAAATCTAGAAATGCTCTAGACCACGTGGAAGGCCTACAAGCAGACATCAGGGTGTGGAGGGGCCTCAGGATGGCTTGCAGCAATGGAGGCTGAGCGCAGAGGGTGGAGATTCACCGCTGGACTTTAAATGAGGTGATAAGCAGGCTTGCAGGTCAAGTGTACTGGTGGCTAATCTTAGCCCACAATGGGGCAACGTAGTCTCCCCCAAACTGCGGAGTGGAACCAGCTCAACCTTTCTGCCAGTGTTCTTCACTAGTACATGCGTTTAAAGAGGGAGATGGTATTTTGCCTAATTTGGCAAAGGAAGGCTTGTGGTTTGCCAGCATTCAACATGACACTTGGTTTCTCTTTCTCTTACAGACAGTTCAGTGTGGCTCTGAAATCGGTAGGTGCTCTAGGGAATGGGTGTTTGGGGCTTTACTGGACGTTCACGGAGCTGATCAAGGTGGGCGGAGGGGGGTCGGGGGGAAACGCTTTTGAAAGATGAAAATAACCCGTGACTCAATGGCATAGCACACATGCTGCTGTCCATTTATGCAGACACCTCCTGTCAGGAAGGATGGATCCAAGATCTGTCCATGAAAACCAAAGCAAAGGAAAGACTTGTGGATACCAGAGCAGACAAGAAGCACACACAGCAGAGATCGAAACGTGCGTTCACGCTGGAATCCAAACTTCTGATTACGTGCCATGTCACTGACGGGGGTTCAATTGATAATTTAGCTCAGGCTTCACAAAAACTAAAACCCACCCTCCAATCTCTGATTGGATTCAGGAGACCTACCCCTACCTTAACTGTGCATACAAGCAAATACCATCCTCTTTGTAGGAAGATAACACCATCTAGCGCCTCAAATTAGCCTTTACAATTTTTCCAAAATTTACTCCAAAAAAACTAACCATAGAAAGACACGAAGCTTTGTCTCTGACTGACAAGAGGGGAAAAAAAGACAATTGGCATCGATCTAAGGAAGATCGGTATGAAGGAAGGACAGAGACTAGAGTTGGCAGACCTGGGCTCTCAAATAACTGCGAATAATACGTGCAAAACATTAGGTGACAGATGAAGGATTTAATCAGAGAAGCAGAGACTGTCAGCATTACTGTGGGCCAGATATTACATACATAATTTAATCCTCATGTTTTCCTTATGGGGAAATGCAAAAACTGAGGATCAGAGAGAGAAAATGAGATCTACCCAGAATCACCCAGCTTATGAGGGGCAGAAACCTGCTTGCCCCTGTTTCCTGCTCCCACCCACTGCTCACTGGGCATCCTATCAACTAGAAGCAAACAGGATCCTATGAGAAATAGTTACGTATCAATGCCCCCCTTCCTTGCCAATTAAGTTGCAAAAACACTCCCTAAATTCAAAGTCAGAAAATTTCCAAGAAAGAAAATGTTCTTGCAAAAAAAGAACATAAATACCAGCTTATGTGTTCTTTCACATTATAACTGTTGCTAAACTAGTAAAATTGTTGAAAGTGGGATGCTATTTACATTACATGAGTTAAGTTTTTCCATTAGAAAGTATAATGTTGGATGATGGTGCATTTTATTTGTGTGAAAGAGTGGGGGAAAGCCTTTTCTCCCCTGAAATTGCAAATATCAGTACAAAGTGTTGCATATTTATTAGCCCATCTGCCACTGCAGCATTAAAGGGGTAAAAAAATCTTATTATAAGCAATTTATTCACAGTTACAGTTTTACCACCTGATGTGCAAAATAACACTCTGTAAGCATTTATTATTGTGCTGAGTAATTTAGATTTTCAATTTAATTCATAACATTTTTTTTTAAGACCACAAAAGTGAACATTTGCTTAGCATAGGGTTTTGTTTCCAAATTTTGGTTGAACAGAATAATCCCAAGTGTTCAGGGTGATCTAGATGAGTCCCTCCTCAGCATGCTGTTCAGGGAGAGCAACTGTCTGAGGGTTTGGAAACCTGATTGCGTGGTCATGAACGTGGCAGCTGCCACTGCCGAAATAGACAAGGTAAACATCTGAAAGGTGACTTTGAATCAATCCACCCAGATACCTCCAGGGCAAACACTTTGCTGGGAGGAGGCTGCTGTACTGTGCTAACACTGAATCCAATTGCAGTACTGAGGCTGTTTATGTCTCTTGGTAAAATACCAGCAACGTGTATCAATCAGCTGGGGGACCCTTCCAGAACAACTGATCCCCAAATAACAATAATGATCCGGGCAGATGCTCACAGGCAGCACATGACTCTCACACCTGGAGAAAGGAGGAGAGCTCTGAGAGGGTGGCCTGTCTACTCAGTCCCCTCTCCTGCCTGAAAGGAGAGACGTGGGCTTTTGAGTTGAGAATGGTTTCTCTCAGGTCTTCTACCATGTCACGAAGTGGAATTAGTGTCCTGTAAGCAGAACCTCTGCAGTCTGACCTGAGGCATCCAGGGGTCTGTAGCTGCCACCTGCTGCCATTAGCGAAACTGCCCATCATGGCTCCTCTGACCCATGTCCTGGTCACCTACTGCTGCATAACAAACTGCCCCAAATCTGCCTAGTGTAAAACCACACTTCAGTGGACCAGAAGTTCAGACAGCCATCAACTGGATAAGCTAACTCAGCTTCAGGACACTGAGGGCCTCAGCTGGAATGGCTCAAAATGGGTGGAGGTGTCTGGAATCATCTGGAGGCATCTTCATGTACATGTCTGCTGCCTAGACTCGGATGACTTGAAGGCTGAGCTTTAACTGGGACTACTGACTAGCGCATCTACATGCAGCCCCTCCACGTGGCTTAGGCCTCTCCAAGAGGGAAAATGGGGAGAGCAAGTGTTCCCCAAGAACCAGGTGGAAGCTGCATGACCTTTCCTGAATGAGCCTCACCGGTCACACGGCGCCTCCCCGACTGCACTCGGCTGGTTACAGTTCCACCCAGGGCAGGGGCGCTGTGGCAAGGTCCCATGGCAGGACAGCATGAGGGTGGGGAGCTATTGTCGCAGCGATGCCAGACCGATACAGCCAGCCTCAACACGACCAGAGCGTGAAGGTGTCCACTTGGGATTCCTACCCCGGATCTCTGGGAGGAAAGTGTTGAGAAAGGAACAGAGATCCCAGGGGAGGCATGTTTGGAAAAATCCTTCCATGGATTGTCACACTAGCTCCTGAGTGTCATGGCTATCAAAGTCCTGCGGGGCACAGCCCTCCGCCATCCTTCCAGACTCATCTGGACCACAGAACCCCTCCCTCTCCAGCCATGCTAACCTGCTTTAGCTTCTCTTTTTTGTCCTTGGGTTCCTCTGCCCCAGGACCATTGCCTCCGCTTTCTGCCAGCCCCCTCCAGCTGGTTGAAGCCCACACATCCTTTGGATGTCAGCTTAAACATTGCCTTTTTGTGAAACACTTTTCTGAGCTCCCTAAATCAAACCCCTCAAATAGACACTCATTGCACTAAGTACCTTATTATCATGGTTGTGATTTTATTTTTAATATTTAGTGTTTATTTCCTCATCTTGACTGTAAATTCCGTGAGGTCAGTAACTGTTCTTGATGACTTCCCCCACCACACACACACAACTGCAGAATCCTGGGTGCAGAGAAGATATTTAATAAAACGTCTGTTGGAATGGATTTATATAGTCACTGAGCACCTAATATCCACCAGACACTGGGTCAGGGTGACAGAAACAATCCCACCTCTGCTACCTTGGAACTCATATCTGGAGGGGACACAGATGATAAA